CACGTGCCCGGCGTGAGTTTTAAGCCACCGGGTCCGGGACGCAAACCGCGGTCGACTACGTGGGAGTCCAGCGACATAGCCATTACGCTAACTGCTGGTTCCCACAACAAACCTCTTTACAGAGTCTACAGAGGATTTCTAGAAAACTGCCCTGTGTTCCTGACAGTAATGGTTTCAGTTCCATAGACATGGGGCTGGAAGACAACTGGTGTGGCGTGGGACATACCTATTGCAATAAGGAGTAATGGTATGGATACAACTGAAAGGCCTCGACTGCGAAATTTCCTATTAATATCATGAGAAATTTCCTCACCCCTAAGTGAGGTTATGCCAGCATTTAGAGAACTTTTTACCTAACTGGATTTAATTCTAAGATCAAAGGTGGGGGTAGGAATAAGGGGGGCCTTCAGGCACACATGCTTTTTTTGTTTTTAACAGTGGGCAAGGGGTTCTAGTTTCTAATGGCATTAAAAACATATCCACTCTTTTTTTTTTTTAATTTTAGCTTTTGCTATAAGGCACATGCACTTACCACAGACACACCAATAAGGAGAAAGTAAGAAATCACCCCATGGGAAACGGCCATGCTGCAGTCCTCTCTCTAGTCCCCTCAGGATTTTGGGTACACACGAGCTGGGGTGATTTTCAAGCCACAGGGTCTGGGACCCCACCAGGTTGGAGACTCAACTGTGCCGTCTGCCATGTGGGATCCAGCCCCTTAACCTCTATATCACCTGCTGGTCCCATATCCATGTCTTTTTAGAACAGTTTTCACCATTTTACTATTCCTCCCACAAACCTTAATTTTTCTTAGCCACAGGGTCATGCAATTTATATTCAAAACAGATTTCCATGTTGGGCCACACGTCTTCTCAGCCTTGTTCTACCTCTGCTGGAACTGACTGGTCTACTTATTTTTTTCCCCAACTCACTTTGTATACACTCTAGAGTTACCATTTTTATTTCTCTCTTCATGCTTAGAACACTCTCCTGATCCTGTGTACAACCCTTACTCATCTTTTAAAGTTCAACTAAGTCCCTGCTCTCCAAAATTATTTCCAACAAAACCCTACAGGCGCTCCACCTCCTCTAAGTCCTGTCTCTTTAATACTTTAAGTTTTTCCTAGCTGGGGATCAAAACTCACTGTCCTCTTCTTCAGTGCTCCTCACAAAGCCCACACTGACCCAACTTTGCCCTTGTAAGACTCAGATAGCTTATATCCCCCAGGAAACCACTCTGGAGTCAGACCAGATTCCTTAGCTTCCCCATGAGAGTCCTGCCTTTTTATTCCTTTGTTCATTCCCCCCCTTTTAAGATGTTCTCCTCTTGCCCACTATCCAAATCTTGATGAAACCACACTTTTCCCATGGAGGTGTCCTTGATCACTTCCACCTTCAACTACTGATCCTTTCTCTAAACTCCACCCAGTCTATTATGCATCTTAGTTCTTGTTCAATTCGCTAGCTGTAATGTTTTCATTACTGCTTCGTGGAGATTTGGTTCCTTTCCTTTCTAACTGCATTTAAGCACTTGGGATTTTTATTTTTCTCATAACAACCAACAGTGGGTCTTCGACAAAGTTTAGCTCTGTGGTCCTCAACCAGGGGCGAGTTCTGCCTCCCAGAGGATATTTGGCAAGATTGGGGGGTGGGGGGGGCATTTTTGACTGTCACACCTGAGGAAAGAGGAAACTGCTAAAGCTACTACAGTGTATAGGATGACCTCCCACAACAAAGAATTTCCTGGCTTCAAATGGCAACAGTGCCACGGTTAGGAAACCCCGGGTTAGCTGAATGACCTAGTCAACGGCAAAGGAAGCAAGGCCCCCGAGAGAGAGCGTACTCCTGGCGGTTGAAACGCGGTGTGGGTTGGCCGGGTGGGTTTGTGACAGCCGACCGAGGGCTGGCAAAGGCAGGCCCGGCTGTCCCAGGCCAGAGCAGGGTCGAGTACGGGCAAATACACGCGTCATGCAGGGCCTGGGACGTCCTCCAGGGCCCCGGAGAACCAGCTGTCCCCATCCCCCCCCCGGCCGCGAAACGCCGGCAACGGAAACGCCCAGTTAGTTACCGCCGTGGAGACCCGCGCTCCACAGCATCAGCCAAGACTCCCGGAACAGTAACGCGAGACTGCTGTCGATGTGCTCTCGCGAGACTTAGGGGGATTCGTCCTCCCCCCCGCCGCTACGCAGCCGGGCGCATGCGCCGTAGCGTACTACAGCAGGGCGATTATATTTGGCGGGCGTCTGGGAGGGGCGGGGCGGCCCCTGAACATCGACAGGGCTCAGACCTTTCTTATCTTTTTCTGCGGTCTCTGTCGGTCTTCGCCCTCCAGCCAACTTTGAGTGTCGCGCCTGGGTCACGGCCCCACCCACCCCTCAGAACCGCGGAAGAAGGAAGTGCGCATCTTTGTTAAGAGTTCCCCGTTCGGAGTGGGAGGCTGAGCGTTCGCCAGTACCCCGGCTCCCCTGTTCGTTCCTCACGATTCCCCGGGACAGAGGCAGGGCCGTGAGGGCAGAGATTTCCCCTCGTACTTGGCCGGCCGGCCCTCGACCTCGGGCCCAGGTGGGGTTAGGGGGCGGGCTCGGGAGGAAGCAGCTACTTGATGATGGCTCCGGTAGATACACCTGCCCCTCCTCTGGAAATGGTCTCTTGTTTGTGTTCGTTAAAACTCTTCTCCACTAGGCCTCTTAGGCTTAACCCAGAGGCTACCGGTATGTTTCCAGAAATTCATGTCCCCTTTTCCCATCAGGTAACCCATAACTATTTTGTCTTCCAGTCCATCATGCCCCCAAAGTACGATGTGTTGAGTCAAGATGAACTGCGTAAAAGGCTGTACCAGACGTTTAAGGATCGGGGTATACTGGACACGCTTAAGGTACCAGATTTAGGCGTATCTGTGTCATAACTTTTACAATGTAATTTGTAACAGGCAGTCCACACTAAATCCATCCAGGCCTTGGATTTTAAAAATAGTAGCATATGTGATCCTATCGAAAAATTACAATTCTATATTCTTGTACAACTCTGTCCTGAAATAATAGTCTCTTGAAAATGAGAATGTTGAGCTTGAATCTTGAGAGCATATTCAAATGATAGATTAATTGAGGTTGAGCTTGAATCTTGAGAGCATATTCAAATAAAAGATTAATTGAACTAGTACTAAGATACAAGAGGGAAACATTTATGTAATAAAATTTAGTAAGATAGGCTGTTTTTGTAATTCTGGCTTACAGTTTTTAACAAATGGTTCTGTAATATGTTTGGATGAAGGATGGTGACTTCACGTAGAAAATATTAAGTGTGCTGCTTTCTGTAGAATAGTTTTGGGAATGAATTTTCTTCTTTAAAAATAGATTGAAATATGGGGCCAGTCGGGTGGCATGGTGATTAAGGTGCTAGACCTACCATAGTTCGGGTTTGGAACAGCAGTTTGAAAAATCACACCAGGCAGGGTGTGTGCATGCCCAAAATTCTGGGAGGAAATGGGATTACAACATGGCCATTGTCCCCAGAAGGTGATTTCTTACTTGCCCTCTCTGTATCTTTGTCTCTCCTCTGGTGAGGACACATGCCCTATTACAAAAACCTTAAGATAAAAAATAGATATTGAAATGTGTGAGTATATAATTTAGGCAGCAAATATACATTAATACAGTTTGTATTTAGATTAACAGCGAGGAGTAGGATTAGCTCATCATTTTTTATTATATATGTTTCAAAAGTATATTTTATGTTCAAAATGAAATGTACTTTAGGAAATTAAGGAAATATGAGCTTGGGACTGGCTCCCTGGCCTGGTAGTTAAGGCAGCTGAATCTAACATAGTTGATCACAGAGTTCGAGTCCCAAACCTGGTAGCTTCAAAAGCACTGTGAGCACATGTGTATGTGTGCCCCTAATCCCCACAAGATGAAGAAATGGAGAAGAAAGGATTAAGGTATGACAGGGCCCCTTGGAGCGTGTTTTCTCCCTCCCCCCTTGTGTCTGTCTGTCTCTGGTAAATGCACACACCCTCTAGCAAATTAAAAAGGAAAAGCGAGCTTGATTTGTTTTTCTTCCCTCTTCCCCATTGCTTTTGTAATTTTATAAAAATATTTCAAACTTATCGGGAAAATACAGAAAAGCAAAAGGGAAAAAAGTCACCTCTAATAAAATCACTAACTAGTATAACGTATGTGAGTCACAAGCTGCTGAAATGGGCTCCTTAGGGAAGTGAATAAAAGCTAGAGTCTGGGGAAAGAAAGCTTTTTCCAGAACCTACTGGGCTGCTTGTTTCACAGAGTAAGACAATGTATGCAGGGGAAGGTTCTTAACGTTTGGCGATGGATCTAGAACAGCTTTTGGGAAATAAAGGATTCCAGTTAATGTAACAAATCTGTATATCTCTGGTAAAACAATTCTGAAAATATTTTGCCTTGTGTTTCTTTTTTTTTTTTTCCCCCCTGAACTAGACACAACTCAGAAACCAGCTAATTCATGAATTAATGCACCCTGTATTGAGTGGAAAACTGCAGCCTCAGTCCATTTCTGTGGAAGGGAGTGCTCTCTTAATAGATGCCTCTAACTCTCTAGTGGCAGATCATTTACAAAGATGTGGCTATGAATATTCACTTTCTGTTTTCTTTCCTGAAAGTGGTTTGGCAAAAGAAAAGGTAAAGTCTTTCCTTTTCTGTTTTTGAATTGTAACAGTTTCTTCTGATATTCATGAAGTACTGCATAATATTGCTAGGCGTTCCTTGGCTAGCTTGGTCCATTTTTCATTCATCTTTGGATTCGCACATGATATCTATAGTCACATGGATATTGACAAATCATTACCCTTGTTGAGCTATCCTGCACAGGATATAGTTGTTATATAACAGATGAGTACCAAATTAGATCATTATTCATTCCTTAGTATCTCAACTTCTTGTAAAATAGCGATATATAGACTCACTAAATGTTCTGGAGAGAAAGTTGAGCCATGTAGTCTAGCATGTCTCAGCACTGCCATGTCTGTGGAATATCTGTTGTGAGCTTGGCACTGCTGGGCATGCTGCAGGTGTTCCGTGTGCTACAGTTGAGGAACTAGACTCTTGACAGTGGCACTGTAGAGCAGTATATTTAGGTCTTTAAAATGGTAGATCTTTAAAATGTGCTGCTTCTATTGTGCTGTTGTCTCCAGATATTTCTCTTTTTGGTAATAATAGAAATGAGACATGTGTAATTAAAAAGTAGTTTGTAAAGCTCTCAAATATTAAAACGCATGTTTTGTGTTTTGCCACTTTTCTAGTTATTTTAACTTTATTTCTTTATAATTATTGTTGCACAGTTTAGTCACTTTATTATTTTAAAAGCGGAAATAGCAAACCTTTCAAGTGTGTACTTTTTAATAGACTTATTTTTTCAGAGAGCTTTAGTTTCATAGTAAAATTGTATAGAAATAGAGTTCCCACATACTGCCCCCCCAAGACAGCCTCTCCTATTGTCAACATCTTATATCAGAGTAGTACATTTGCTGTAATCGATGAACTTAGAAGGATACATCATCTCACCCAAAGTTCATAGTTTACATTAGAGTTCACTCTTGGTTTTTTTCCTGTTTTTACTCTTTTTATTTTGTTTGTAATTTTTCCAAAGTTTCATATTCCTAAGTCTTAAGGAAATTGGAGCATTAGTATTTGAATAAAAACTTGAAATTTAAATATGCTGTACTTTGTTAACAACCAAGTATTTTTTTTAATATTTAATTTTATTTATTAGCATTATGGACCAGAGAGAGGGAGGGAGGGAGGGTGGGAGGGAAATTGAGAAAGCAAATGGCCAGGTCCAGGGCTAGAACTGTGGTCGGCCATGTGAGAGTCCAGTGCCTTAACTACTGTACCACCTGCTAGGCCCAACAACCAAGTTTTATCAACATTAGGAATTAATTTTAGGTTAGTCATATTCTCTAAAATTTTAATTATATATTTCACAATTTTGCTTATTACTATGAAATAGTTATATATTTATTATAGCAGTAATCTTAGAAGGATACATCATCTCACCCAAAGTTCATAGTTTACATTAGAGTTCACTCTTGGTTTTGTTCCTGTTTTTACTCTTTTTATTTTGTTTGTAATTTTTCCAAAGTTTCATATTCCTAAGTCTTAAGGAAATTGGAGCATTAGTATTTGAATAAAAACTTGAAATTTAAATATGCTGTACTTTGTTAACAACCAAGTATTTTTTTTGTCTGTGTCTTTCTGGCGATCACACATGCCCTATAAGGAAAATTGATGGCCCAGCTGCTGGTATGGTGGTTAAGGCAGTTGGATTCCACATGGCTGATTGTGCAGTTTGAGTCCCAGACTGAACGGCTTGAAAAACACACTAGGTTTCTGTGTGTGTGCGTGCCCAAAATCCCAAGTAGAGAAATGGAGGAGACGGGATTGCGGGGTGGCCATCCCCCTGGAGATGCTTTCTCATTTTCCCTCCCCCTTCCTCACTCTGTCTCTTGCTGGTGAGCCCATGTACCCTATATCAAAATTTAAAAAAAAAAGAGAATAAATTATTCCAGTATTTTTATGATAGACATAATAAATTGTAATAGAAATGTATGCTAAGGGGGCCGATAAGTGGCATAGTGGTTAAGTTGCTGGACTCCCACATGGTTGACCATTGTTCAAATCTTGGACTTGGAGGCTTGAAAATCACACCAGGCACATGTGCTTGTGTGCCCAAAATCCTGAGAGAAGGGAAGAGAAGGAATTGCAGCATGGCCTTCCCTCCTAGGGGGTGATTTCTCACTTTCCGTTTCTCTCCTTTCCAGCAAGTGCCTGTGCCCTATGACAGAAACCTAGGAAAAAGAAATGTATTTTAAAAATAGCTACCTAAAACATTTTAGGTATACTTTATTTATAGTTGTAAGGACAGTAAAATTTTATCTTTTTTTTTTTTTAAGAGATTTTTGCTATAGGGGCGCATGCACTTGCCAGACAGAGAGAGAGAGACAGAAAGTGAGAAATCACCCCCCAGGGGGGATGGCCATGCCGCAACCCCTCTCCTCCATTCTCCTCTCGGGGTCTTGGGCACGCACGCACACGCACCCAGCGTGAGTTTTAAAAAGCTACTGGGTCCGGGACTCGAACCGCGGTTGACTACGTGGGAGTCCAGCAACATAGCCATTACGCTAACTGCTGGTCCCCCTAATTTTAGCTTATTTTTAAACAATGACTGCTTTAAAAAAAATCGTAATTGAAGAACCTCTTGAACTCAGTTATGTAATCATTGATTTGTCAGATGTTTGAGTGTCATCTGTAAGGCATTAGCCATTCTGACATATCTCTTAGATATACTAGATCACTTCAAAAATTCTGTGGAAAATGGAATTAAAGTATTAGTTTATTTTAGTGTAAAACAATTTTGAAATCCATGTATTTTTATTCACAATAATATTTTCCCTAAACTTTTGAAGATCCTTTGTATTATCTTTTATGAGAAGTATTTGAAGGTTAATTACAATACATGATCAATAAAGCTATTTTATCTTTTTGATATCAATAGTTTACTGTAATTTATTTAGCAATATAAGAGCAAGCTTTACTTTTGCATTATTAGCACAGGTATCTTATTTTTATTTAATCTAAAGTATGAGTCTTTTTTTTTTTTTTCTTTAAGCATTTTATTTATTTATCTATTTGTTGTGATTTTCAAACCATCGGGTCTAGGTTTTAAACAACAGTTGGCCATGTGGGAAGCCAGTGCCTCAACCACCATGACACTTACTGGCCCTGAAGTGTGATTCTTGATCTCATATCCAGAAACATATCCTAATTTATCATGTAAACGTTGATATAAAAATATGTGTACTTACTCTTTTTTTCTCTTAAGGTATTTTCTATGCAGGATCTATTACAACTCATTAAAATCAACCCAGCATCCAGTCTCTACAAATCACTGGTAGGATTGTTTAGTTTGTATAACTTCTTTTGGTTTGTGAATTATAACTGAATAGTTGAATAAAGGTAAAAATATTTTCTTTTAACAGGTTTCAGGATTTGATAAAGAAAACTCAAAAGGTACGAGCCTTCAGCTTTGTGGAAAATAGCAACAGTTCTGTATGTACTTTGAACTACAAAAGTACAGAGCTAATAATTTTTAGAGGGCAAGAATAGGACATTTAATTTGAATCAGATCATTTGATCTTCCTTGCCTGCCATTTCTTAATCATTTAAATAAGCAACAATTGTGACAAATGTAGGTAATTTCCCCCACATTTCTATCTTTTTAATAACTCTTAGATACTCAAAAAGAAAACTGCAGACAAGATCAAGAGCCCTACAAATGAATTTTAAAGATACTTTTTGTAAAACTACCCACCATCTGGAAAATTTCTGCACAGAAACAACAACTATTGGGTCGTTGGGAAAGTCATGACACATTTTTGTGTGGAAAAACATAGAAAAATACATACTTTGGGCCAAATATCTTTGTAACTCAGGTATCTTCCTCAAGTACAATTTATCGAGTATTAATATTTGCTTAAAGAATGATATTTCTGTTCTTTGGCATTTATATACACTTCATAAATTGCCTTTATAGTAACCTTTCATAGAGTCCAGCATTATGGGTGCAATACCATGAATGAGATTTGATGATGGGCTTCATAGTAAACATAAGTGCATAGTTGTTATTTAGGTCTTTTAAAATGATCTGTGACTTCATAGTGTCCTTTTGGGCTGGTGTACTCTTGTAATTTGTCTGTTGAAAGCACCGCTGCTGTCTCCACAAGGATATTCATTCCTTCATGCAGAACTTAACCAGCAACCATTTGAGTATGTATCTTCTGCCAACCATTAGTCTGTGTCTTAATTGTCAGGTCTTCTGAGAGTAAGATTAGCAGAGGATAAATAAGTCGGCTCATAAGATGTTCTGGGCTGCCTGCAAAATATATAATCTAAACTGAGATTCGTTTTGATAAACGATCGTCTGTTCAATAAAGTAGCACCATCTAGTGTAGCTTCCTGTGATGATGGGAATGTCTTTAGCTGTGCTG